GACACGGTCCCGCTTGCTCATAGGCTCATGATGTCATCCATATGAGCAAAAGGGAAAATGGAGGAAGAGGCAGAGGAGGTGAGGGGCTAGGGGCACAGGAGACTTGTGGAGGGGATACAGTTTGTGGATGTATGGTAACTAAATTTAGTTTTCATCATGTTTTACTCCTTCCGTTTTTCCCTCATGGAGTCATCTTTGCCTCATACTCCTTGTTAAAATTTGAAGATTTTATTTATCTGTTTATTTAATTTACTGGAAAGACGGGGAGAGAAAGTCAGTCAGTCAGCCCTTGGTCTGTTCTTTCGCTCTCAAAAGCTACAACAACCCAGGCTGAACCTAGGATCCTAGAACTCCATCTGGGTCTCTCCCGTGGGTGACAGGGACCTAAATGTTAGGTCGTCTGCTGCTGCCACTCTGGGTGCTTGGAAGTGGAGTAGCTGGCACTTGAACTGGTGCTCACATGGGTTGCTGCTGCTATCGCAGGCTGCGGCTTGACACACTATGCCACATGCTGGCTACTATGTTTTGTTTTTTTATTTTAAGCTATAAAGAGAGAGGAAGGGAGAAAGAGGGCGATCTTCCATCTGCTAGTTCACTTCCTAAATGGCCACGACAGCTGAAATAGCTAGTGTTACTAGTATATTATTTCTTCCTAAGGGTAAAAATAAGTGTGAACATTTTTGTCATCAGTGTCTTCTTCAAGGTTCTTAAACATTCCTGCAGATCCTGGTGTCTGTGAAGTGCGCTTGAATGTATTTTTGCTACTTTGGAGTTAAGCTAAGTTAGCAAATTGGGAAGAAGATTGTTTGGAAAAGTGCTGGGGGTTGATCAATGTTGCGTATGCTTTCCCTCTTCTGCTTCAGGCTCCTGGTCAGGTCCCTGTCCCTCTGGGGGCAGTTAGGGGTCAGTCTATCCCCCACCAAGGAGCAGGCCTTGGGTTGGGGACAGCCTTGAATCTTCAAGGTCTCCCTCCCCAGGGATCCTTCATCTAGCAGGGCAGTTAGCCTGCTTGCTAAAGTGCCCAGTGGGATGGCTCAGGCTTGGGACCTGCCACCCCAGCCGAGAGCACTCAGCCAGCCAGTCAGCCACCAGTGACTTGCTAAGAGTTGATGGTGGCACCTAAAACTTGAGACTGGGCTGTAGAGTGGATTCCAGGAGTGTATGGTGGCCCTTGATGCTTGCCAGGGCATCCGGATAAGCTCTTGAAAAGGTTTGGGAGCGCTGTGAGGTTATGTAGGTTTAGAAGCCAGCTAGAAGGCAATTTAAAGCACTTAATCACTCCATGCACAGGGATAATAGCCTCTCACAGTTGTCTGCTCCAGGAGAACGAGAGAGACCAAAGCACTGGCCTTCCTCTCAGCATGGCATTCAGTTTTCTGCTGACCTTCCCTTATACCGGAAGGCACCTGGTGTTTATCTGTCCCTGTTGCCACCAGAGCACACACGGTGAGCCGCTTCAGCGTTGTGGCGCGTCAAGGCCAGCAGGTGCGGCAGTCAACACAGGAGCAACACTGGAAGTCGATGAAGAGTGCAGAGGAGCAGAGAGACTGCAGCAGAGACCAGTGAGGCTTCATGAAGAATGCATGGGGCTGCGCTTGGCAGGCGCTTCGGGAGCCGCAGGCAGCACACGTCAAATGCGCATGCCAAGGGTCTGGTGGGAATCCCATAGACGAGGGGCCCGATGTGGCTGCAGGGGAAGAGAGAGTGTGAGCCTGGACTGGGCCCCTCGCGTGACAGAGACAGAGACAGAGAAGCAAGTCATTGGTTTCTGGGAATTATGATCTGTCGGGCTGAGCTGTCTGACTTCGGCATTTCCCTCCTCCTCCACTCCCGCTGCAGGTGGATTCTCCCATCAGTCTCTAAGAAACTGGGAACCTGTTCCTGTGTTGTCATGTTGAATGTCAACATGGACTCTCTACAAAGGAGAACTATGGCTGGTAAAGCTATAGAATGAATGTATCCAGATTTTCTTTAGCCCAGCCACGAGAGGATCAGTGAAATGATAAACTGATTCAAAAGGGTCTGTGAGGAACTGGTTATCACTAAGTTGTAAAGAGAAAAGCATGTGAGATTAAGCTTTCAGACTGAGACATCAAGCTGGATAATGTTCTTTGTGGAGAAGAGCCACACTTTTCGTGATAAGCTTTTCTACCATGCAAGTGTCTTAAACAAGTATCTTCGCAGAGCCTGGACGCTCAGAGTGTAAAGAGGAAGGTCGAACACCAGCAGGGAAGGCCTGTTGGAACAGGGCGGCAGGGTGACATCAGGTGCTGCTCTTCTCATCCCTCTTCTTGCCCGACTACCTTATTTTCAAGTTTGGGGTAGTTTTTATTAATGTTTTAAAAATGCTTAGAATGTAAGGAAACTTTGAGAATGAACTCCAGTTCCTTCACTCACCAGCTGTGTGATGTTGGCAGCTCATTAGCAACGCCTGGGTCTATTTGCTACATGCTGAGAAGGGCAAGTGAGATCGCTTTTGGACTGAGGCTGGTGCCTGGCAGAAACTCCATGAATCTGAATCCTTCTCTTTCCAAAGCTGAAACATTTTTTGCCTTTTGTCTGCAGCATGCTTTACTTAGAACCCTCTGTGTTTGGTGACTGAATGAAAGGGAGCAGTGTTATTTTAGGTGACTCTTTTTGGAGGATAAGGATGGAGTCTTTCTTGCATAAATGGAGATATGTGTTCCTGTCCGTGGAGAACTACCTTCCCAAGTTGTGCACCAAGCAGCTCAGGGTTTTTGCGTTGGGTTTGCATGGAGAGGGGGCGGGTGTAGTTGCCTTCCAGGAATGCCCCACCCTGTAGCCCCTCACCTGCAAATGGTCAGCGTGAGTGCAGCCAACAGAGATGGCGCAGCTGCTGTCAGCTGCTCTCCGAGCTGCACAACTGATTCTGCCTGAGCTGGGTGCTTGAGGGCAGAGTCCCTTTCCTTCACAACCCCCTTCCTCTCCCAGGAACCCATGCACCCGCCCTTGACCTCACCTCTCTCCTCCCAGAGTATGATGTAGTATGGGTTCATAGGTCAGGAGCCCCAGATTCTGAATTCAGTGCTGCCACTGCTTAGCTTGGTTTCTTGTCTTTAGTCTAAACAGCCTTTTTCCTTTCATGCTGGACATAAAGTCCAGCAAATCTACACATTGACTGGTATAGTCACACAAGAGGGAAGTTCTCTCACTTTCCTATATCTGTGTCATAACTCTCCATGAAACGTGATAATCATCGCCGTGATGATCTGTTTCATTCACTCATTAGGCAACAAGGATTTATTGAACAGCATTCCCATGGCAAGCCCTGATGATTTGTGTGTGTGTGTGTGTGTGTGTTTGTGTGTGTAATCAATCAGTAAGAGGCCTGCTCTGAAGGAAACAGTAACCAAGTAAACAAGGAAGATGACTTGGTTATGTTAAGGATTATGGAAGAGAATAACCGAGATGATGGGCACTCTAAGTAAGCTACTACCCTTAACTTTTTTAGCTAGAGTGATCCAAACGATGAGGAGTCAGCTGCAAAAAGAGTTGAGTGAAGAGCATTCGGAGGAAGGGAATGGTGCAGAGAGGTGAAGATTGAACATGGGAAAAACAACCTGTGGCTGGACTTGAATGGGCAGAGATGTGGTGAGGCCAGTTAAGGGTTCTAGAAAGCACGGGAAGCATTTGTCTTATTCTGAGTGCCATGAGTAGTTTAGAGTACTAGAATGGTGTGTGCTTACTAAAAGAAGGGAAAGAGAATACATCTAACTGGTGAAGAATTGAATGGAGAGTGTTAAGTTCCGGGAATAGGGACACCAGTGAAGTAGCCATTAGAGTTCCTAGTGGCTTAGGCTAAAGTAATAAGAAGGGGCTTCAAAAGCTCATGGAACCATGGAAAAATAAGTTTATTTTGTTGCAAAAATAATTGGAGCTCCATGTATAGCTTTTCCATTAAATGACTATTTTCTTTTTATTTATTTATTTAAGGCATGCTATTTATTTGAAAGGCAAAGACAGAAAGACGAAGAGCTGCTACCCAGAGTCACTCCTCAGAGGCCTGGAACATTCTGTGCTGGGCCAGGCTGAGGCTAGGAGCTGGGGGCTCCATCCAGATCTCCTACCAGGGTACAGGAATCCAGTCACTTGAGCTGTTACCCCCTGTCTCCCAGGGTGCACCCCAGTGGGGAGTTGGAGTCAGGAGCAGAGATAGGATGTGGAATGTTAGCCAGTCTTTACTGCTAAGCCAAAACCCAGCTCCCATAGTTTTCCAAAGTACACATTGCCAGACACTTCTTGAAGATCTCATAATATGCACACATTTCAACATATCTGCACTAAAGTCGACTTGTTTTCAAGCGCCGGTTCCACAAACATTTGGAAGTACCCTTGCAGTGGTAGCTGTGGAGAGAGGGGCTGCCTTGAGCATTATGCTGGTTTATGGTGGATCCTAAATGCCTGCATGGGGAGGTTCAGTTTGGTTTTTCCAGGAGCTGTCATGTCTGTGTGTGTGTGTGTGTGTGTGTGTGTGTGTGTGTGTGTGTGTGTAGGTGGGGGGGGGAAAGTAAGGGGTGGTCACTATGGATGATTGTGAAATGTGTGTGCAGTCTCTTGTTGCTTTTTAATAGGCTGATTAGCATGAAGGGCTGCTCTCTGGCGTGGATGAAAGGCGGGGAGTGTAGTTACGTGTGAAATGGGATTCAGAGGATACTCACTTGGCTGGTCATGGAGAGGGAGAAGACTAAGCTGAGCAAATCGCGTAACTTATTTGTTTTATTCTCTGTGAATAATGAATGGATGAGGTGACGGGGTGGAAGATGACTGCATCAAAGAAGTTCCAGTGTCTTCAGATGGGTCCAGTTTTTAAAACAAGGAACCAAGCCTCTCATCCATTCACATGCTTGATTCCTCTGAAAGCAATCCTGCTAATGGAGCTGTGGCTTTGCAGACCATCTGAGCAGGCACACAGCCATTTTTCACTTATGTGTTGGGTTCTTGATTCTGGAGGAATTCATTGTGTTTTTTATTCTCCCTAGGACATCTTTGAAGATGCCTTGGAAACCATCTCTATGTAAGTAACAACAATCATAAAGAATATGTAGGAGGGAAAAAGTTATGGTTCTCATATTATCCAGTCTGAATCCTTCATTATAATCCTAAGGGATCACTTTTGAGTGGAGTTAAGATGTGATTTTGCTTAAGAAAGGATATATATGTCTAACATTAATTTCAAATACATGTTTGAGTGCTTTTTTCTTAAGTCAGAGGAAAATATTTCCCAACAATTGTTTATAGCTAATAAATGCCTGGACTTTTTTTTACCTGATTAGCCTTGTAATATAAATGTTTGCATTTGACTTACACTTTTGACTTTTACTGTAAGCCTTTGTTTTGGTAGTAATTTTAAATGGCTAAATTGGATTACATGGAATCCTAATTTTCTGCTTTGCCATTGCTGACATCTGGGTTGTTACTGGTTTACTAACTTAAAACTAAGTGATAAATATTGTCGGTTATAGAATCTTACCATCTTTTTAAATTATCTCAGAACGTTAGCACCACAAAGGAAGGGTCACTGGACTAAGAGGAATAAATGTGCTCTAAATTGCTGTTTCTCTTTATGTTAAGATTACGTGTGTTGTTTCATCTCCAAATTTTAATGTTTATGCTGCTGAATCTTCATTTGATTACAAAACTTAGTGTGGTTATGACTTAATAAAAGAAACAGCCACTTTTTTTGTTTTGAAATGATTTCAAATTTACAGAATTACAGTGAAGTTAGAACAGAGTTGCTGTATATCAGAGTGCTGTGGCATATAAAGCCAGGCCCCTACCTGCAGGGCCGGCTTCCCTTATGGATGCCAGTTCATGTCCATTTCTGATCCATCTTCCTGCCTGTGGCCTGAGAAAGCAACAGAAGGTGACTCAAGTCCTTGGATGTCTGTACCACATAGGAGACCTGGAAGAATCTCCTGGCTCTTGGCTTTGGACTGGTGCAGCCCTGGCCAGTAAACCAGTGGATGGAAGATCTCTCTCTCTCTCTCTCTCTCTGTGTCTCTGCTTTCTGTAACTCTGCCTTTCAAATAAAATAAATTTTTAAAGAGGTTAGCAAGGCATGATCAAAAAGCATGATCCAATATGAATACATTGTTCTTCACTGTAATCCTTTTGTTTTTCAGATTTCTTCTTGTTGTTAAAAAGATCTATTTATTTGAAAGAGTTATAGAAAGTGAGCAATTGACTGAGAGAGGGCAATGGCTAGGGCTGGGCCGTGCTGAAGCTGGAACACTGGACCTCTGCCTGGATCTCTAGCATGACTATGGGGGCTCAGGCATGTGGGTCCACTTTCATTGCTTTCCCAGGTACATCAGCAGGGAGCTGGGGCTGAGGTGGAAAAGATGGGACCAGTGCTCAAAAGGATGCCATCCTTGTAGACATAGGCTTAATCAGCTGTGCCATGTGACCAGCCCCTCACGTTTCTTTAGTTTTTGTCTAGTGTTCCTTTTCTATCCCAGGACTTCCCCAAGGGTGTTATGTTTGCCTAGCCCTCCTTTACTGGGAGTTTCTCAGACTTTCCTTGATTTTGATGGCCTTGACAGTTCTAAGGAGTCCTGACCTGACTAATTATTTAGGGAGAGTTTTCAACTAGGGTGCCTAGCTCCTAATTTCTCATCCAGGAAAGGCCAAAGGAATTGGAATTTCTCTCCTCCAAGGCAGGCTTGAGTCCCTCTTCCGTCCTGGCATTGACCATGAAGCAGGTCTCTGCAAGGTCAGCAGAGGTCCTCCCCTGTGTGTAAGAGGAAAGTATGCTGTGCAGAGAGGCCAAGAAAAATCCAGTCCAGCTTTGTTTACTGGGCTTCCCCGCTCAGTCTGTTGGCTCTGGATCATGGCTGCTGTATCTTTTCTACTGGGTTGTTTGTGCCTCAGTAATGCTATGTGATGAAGTCTCTGTAAAGCCTGGAAGGACAGCTGAGCACATGGAGGTAGGTTCCTGGAGGAGCAGGGACAGAGAGGGCATGAAACTCTCAGCCCTGCCTGCCAGCCCTGGGCATCTCTTTGTGTCGTTGGTACTAGCCTGTATCATGTATGTATATAATACACCAGCTATATGCATTTTAGATATCATATGGAATTGTAAAGATGAATTCTATGCCAGGCCTGACTGTTTCCTGAGTTCTGTAAGCCACTTGGGAATTAGTGGGACCCGAAGAGGGAGATGGGGAAATCCCCATTTATATCTGCCTGAAGTTGAGTAAGAGGAGGCCATCGTGGGGACTGCACTCTCCACCTGTGGGACCTGCTGCCATTTCCAAGTAGACAGCAGCAGAGCTGGCTTGAATTAAAGGACACCCGGCTGGTATCCCCTGCAAAGCTGACAACTGTGGGATAAGAGGAGGCGAACCCTCACCTCTTGGGTGGGTCACAGAAATCTCCTGTGTTGATTGATGCGGTGTGAAAGAGGAAATTAAGGTTGCATCTCCTATGTCCCATGTGATTTAAAAATCACCTTAAAAATAACATTTGTTTATTTTTCGGAAAGACAGAGAGAGGAGAAACAGAGAGAGAGAGAGAGAGAGAGAGAGAGAGAGAGAGAGAGAGAGAGAGTATCTTTCATCTGTTGGTTCACTCCCCAAACGGCAGCAATGGCTGATCCAAAGCCAGGAAGCAGGAGTTTGTTTTGAGTCTCACATTAGGGTGCAGGTGCCCAAGGACTTTGGCCAGTCTCTCCTGTTTTTTCCAGGTCATAAGCAGGCTGCAGGATTGGACGTGAACTGGTGCCATATGGGATACCGACACTGCAGGCAGGGGCTTAGCATGCAGCAATGCTGCACCATCCCCCAAATAATTTTTTGCTTGTAACGACTTACTTTATTTTAAATACAGAGTGGCAGGGAAACAGAGATCTTCCTCCACTAGATCACCTCCCGAATGACTGTGATAGCCAGGGCTGGGCTAGGCTGAAGCCAGGAGACCAGAACTCTGTCTGGGTCTTCTATGTCATTGGTGGGGCACAATCTTCTGCTGCTTTTTCCAGGCACTTTAGCAGGATGCTAGATTGGAAATGAAGTAGTTGGGACTTGCAGTTTCCTGTGTGGGATGCCAGCATTGCTGATGGCAGCTTTATCCACCATGCCACTACATGGGAAACAACAACAAAAAAAATCTCCCCTTTCCCTAGGAACAAGAAGAAAGAGCAAATTTGGAACCAGTGAATTCACCCAATTTTTCTTAAATCTCAATCCTTCCCACCCTGAACAGACATGTAATCACTATAAGAAATAAAATAAAATTTAAAAAGATTAGTTATAGCCATGTGGAAACCTTGTATTTCCTGGACACTGGCAGGAACTGAGCTAGGGTAGTAATGGGAGATGGCCATCCATGCGATGAGAAGGGATCAGACTGTGGGGTCAGTGATGAGCATTCACCAGCAGACAGCCTGCTGACCCAGCTGGGCACTAGCCCACCACACGCTGGAAGAAGACTTGGTCCCTACCGAGGAACCATGTTTGTCCTGTTGACTGGTGGGATTGAGGCAGCACACATTAGCACTCGCATCTCTCCTGACCCACACTGGTTGTGTTATGCTGGCAATCCCTTTACTTTTGGGACCTCTGAAAGGCACCACGAACAATTTCCTGAATCTGTTAGTTTTGAAAAATTCATATCGTACAATAAAGCAGAACAAACCAAAAACCTTGAACCTGACTCGCCTGAAACTAATTTAGTTCTCTGTCTCATACGAGCCCCCAAGCACTATACCTAGTCCAACGTCATTGGCCAAGCATGAGAGGAAATTTATGTATGATGCCTCTGTTGCTGAATAGTAAGTTCATTGATGTAACAATGCTCTCTGTTTGGGTCTCCTTTTTTGGTCCTTTGATCTATTTATCTGTATTTGCACAGAACCACTCTTGGGCGCAACAGTTAATAGTGTGAATGGCTCTCAGAAAAACAGTGTCAAAAAGTGGCTCCTATGATGGGGAGTTTTTGATTCATGCCTCTTTTAAGTTCTTTTCTGTCCTTATCTTTTTTTTTTTTTTTAAGATTTATTTTATTTTTATTGGAAAGTTAGATATACAGAGAGGAGGCGAGACAGAGAGGAAGATCTTCCGTCTGATGATTCACTCCCCACTTGGCCGCAATGGCTGGAGCTGCACTGATCCAAAGCCAGGAACCAGGAGCTTCTTCTGGGTCTCCCACATGGGTGCAGGGTCCCAAAGCCCTGGGCCGTCCTTGACTGCTTTCCCAGGCCACAAGCAGGGAGCTGGATGGGAAGCAGGGCTGCCGGGATTAGAACTGGCACAATATTCCTTTTGTGGTCCAATTTAGCTGCTAAATTCACTAGACTTCTTTTCCCTTCTGCCTATTGAATGACACATTCTGGTTTTATGTTTCTAGTGGAGACCGAGAATCAAAGAAGGTCTTAAATTGTTCCTACAAAAGAACTTATTTCTTACTTTGCTTTTCTGCTTAATGGATTTACCACAGGGACATTAAATTTCCCTACTTCTGGATCTCTATGGCAATCACTGTTACTTTCACTTAGTAAACTATGTGGGAAATTACTCATTTTGCAAACTGGAAGATCATACAAAAATCTCCCATTTAGAACTGGAGGAAAAACTAGAGGTTCAAAAAAGTGTATGACCCATGGACCGTGCCTTTGGTTGGGACTGGCATTTGGGGCAGTGGTGAAGAAACTTCTTGGGACACTCACAGCCCGTGATGAAAGTGCGACAGTGTCTGAGTCCTGGCCTGCTTCCTGTCTCCCCTTCCCGCTAATGCCTTGCCGGATATAGCACGTGATGGCTGAGCAAGCTGGATCCTTGTCATCTGTGTGGGAGAGCTGGCTGTTGCAGGCCCTTGGAGAGCAATCCACTGCATGGAAGATCTCTGCTGATCTGTATCATCTCTCTTTCTGCTTCTTTGTCCTTCCAGTAAAAAGTAGTTCTTTCTTTCTTTTTTTTTTTTTAAAGATTTATTTTATTGGAAAGGCAGATATACAGAGAGGAGAGACAGAGAGGAAGATCCTCCATCCGATGTCTCACTCCCCAAGTGAGCTCAACG